TAAATAAAGTGGCCAATCAAAGGCATGCTTTAGCAGAATGAGTAAAGTATGTAAAATATTTTTGGAAAACTCTATTATGCAAGTGAGAGGTCCGACCGACCCTTGCTGAACCTACACTAAAATTATCTGCATTATTTTACTTTAAGAAAATAAATGTAAATCATTATACTTACTTAATTTAAACACTTTGCATTTTTGAATACCTACTAAAATTAAAAATTAAATAAAGATTAAAAAACATTTTTTAGAAATCCGACAGCGTGAATACGTATGTTAGTGATTATTGACCTTAATTGTATTGTTAACACTGTCAGTGTTTTGATTTATAGGTTAAGTTTTCTTGTTAGTTGTTGCACCTCCATTCTTTCTGCTAAAGCACTCAAGTGATTGGCTACTTCATTTAATTATTAAGTAATTAAGGGTGCGTCAGATTGAAAAATGCCCCCTATCCATCCCTTTTGCTGCTGCCTATGACTTTTGAGACACCCTGCACAATAAAATAAAGGCTTTTATATACAGGGTGTCCGGAAGTTATTGCCAAAAGTTTCTGTAACATTTTTTTGAAAACTCACTAATAACCAAGTTATATGCCTTTAATATTTTTAATAACTTTTTTCTAGTGTTCGGATTTACTTCAAATTTGGTAAACACCACTGAAATTCCTTTGCATCCTTGGTCCAAATTAGAGATTAATCCCTTAAAGCCAAAGGGCCTAAATTTAAAAAAATATTATAAAAAAATGTTATGGACCTTTTTAAAAAGTCAAGGGCAGTTTAGGCTAAGAAACATAACTGGTAAGTATGCCAAATTTAAAGTAAGTAAATCCGTACAAAATTTCCGTACACCCTGTATAACTTTAAAAGAATAAATTACTCTACTTATAACTATTAATTTATTGAAAGCTTATTTTAAACGATTTTTGTATATAACTAAATTAATAAGACTAAAATATTCGGAACTTTAATGTTTATTGATCAATATAATTTAGAGTTAGAGTTATCAAGTTAATATACACCTTGTCAAAAGTTATCTGCTCGCCATTGCTAACTCCGTTATTATTGGTGCTTTAAAGTCGGTTAAATTAGCAAATTGGTGACATTTGTTCTTCTGGCGAATGGTAAAAACAGAAAAACAATTGAACGTTGGGTTTCCGAAATATTCACAAAAATAACCTTTTTTCAATGAGACACCATGTATATTTTTACACATTTTAAAACAAAATTTATTTTGAAAGAAAAAATTATTTAAGCATAACCCTTAATTTAAAAATTAACAGTTAATAAGCACTCGAACTTTCTGATTGTTGTTAAAATGAAGAAATACTTAATATGGTTATTTTAACAACCAGAAAGTTTAAGTGCTTAGGGGAAGGTGGGGGAATTCTGCGCATCTAAGCAAAATCTCTAGTATCTTTGTTAAGTTTAAATGTGAAATTTTGCAATTATTACCAGCGATACTCTACTATGTTTACTATGTGTATATAATGCGCAATTTATAAAAAAAAATGTTTGGTATGCAAAAACTACATTTTTTTAAATAATGCATTTGCGCAAAATTACCCACCTATCAGGGTAATTTTGCGCATCATAGTAGGAAAATTTGCGCTGTATAGAGAAAGATTTGTAGGTATCTAAATAAACCGTTTATTTCTATAATATTATTATATTAAAACATAAAAATAAAACAAAACTATTTTCTTTATGAAACAAACAAAACAAACAAAATCAAAAATAAATAACTAAAAATAAAATTTTTGTTCTTAGAAATAAGAGGGTCTACATGCAGCATTTGTCACATATGTAGTTTTAGGGTTTTTTTTCGCTACACTCCGCGTGTGCCCAAATGGAACTGTTTATGCTGAACAATCTAGGCTCATGTATACCAAAGCTCCCATTTTGGCCAAATTTTGCAGCGCAAAATTACCCCAATTTTTCAGCGTAAAATTACCCCCATTGCAAGAAAAATATTGTGATACTAAAAAACTTTCCAAAAGTTAACCTGAACAATTTAAACATACACCAGATTACGAAGAAAGATCATATAAAGTTGTGTTATAAACATTTAAGCGATTGGACAGAAATTTAAACTTAACTCGTAGCGGAAACGACATGGATTTCTTAGATCAACGTACATGTATCACAGTTAGCTAGTGACCATGGTCACTAACTAAACACAGCAAAGATCATTTGTTGTTAACTATTGTCCCAGATGGAATTGCATGGACCAGTGATGTTTATACGAAAAGTACTGGTACTGTATCAACAGGTAAAGATTGCTACAATTGAGTATGAGTATGAGTATGGGAACGTATGGCAGGCCCCAGATATATTATCCTCCTCGATCTCCCGGGGATATTTTAGCCCCTTTTCGTTCTCCTGCGTATCCCGCCAAATCACAGCATTACCTGTGTTTGTTGGATCCGAGGTTTTTACGCCGGCTGGTTGATCCGCCCTAGGAGGTTGTGGAAGACAATGTCAAAGGTTAAGGCCGCTCCCGGAATTTTTGTCAGCCGGGTCGGGCCATACGTCCAGTTTAGGAAGGGTTTTTGGGGGACATTGAACTGACCCAAAACTAAGTACAATCCGGAATCCCTCTTAACCAGGGCTTTAGTAATAACCCCATTCATTTGGTATTCTTGAATGTGGGTAGAAGTGTTAGTACGCTGCTAGAACCTGTCCTTTTGGTGTATTTCTGAACGTCACTGTCCGAGTCAGTATCAGGTTCCTGGTAACCTCTTTAGAATTGTTTGCCCCCCTGTGTGATACTCAGTCTTGTCTTCCGTATCGAAGCGTTGCCGGCCCTGATACCCGTGGGTGTCCTTTCCCTTAATGGGTATTCCTCCTGCCAAGTATCGGCTACCCACCTTGTATATTCCTTATTTATTTTAAAATTATTAATTGTCAACCAGTATCTATATAGATCTTATATAAATATCAATTAATCAATACCAATACTAATCAATAATCAATACCAATATCAACCAATAATCAATTAATCAATATTACGTTAGCATCAATATCCACCAATTAATCAATCCATATTAATATTAATAATAATAATAATATTAATATCAATATCCATAATTCCAACATCAATATTAACATTAATACCAATAATATTAACATCAGTACCAATACCAACACCCATAATATCCATACCAATCAGTCGGTCTATTAATTTATTAATTAATTAATCAGTCTCTCTAATGTAAATACCAATATACAAAATGGGTAAATCCGGCTCTGTAGTGTAATGTATGTAATGGAATGCGGCAACATGGCTTAGGCTGAGTGGGTCTTCCTTCTTATCTATCCTAAATGCATATACAATATTACCTATTCACCAATGTTGCCATTTGTAACAAAATTATCGAATTGTAACATAATTTTTTTCTAAAAACAAGCTTGAAAATTATATGTATCATAACGATAATTGTAACGTAATTTTTTAATCCAAGTATTTGGACAAAATTAACTTTATTCTATCCAGATTATTAATTTAATTAAACATAAAGCCTGATTTATAGATTTTCTACCTTCCTCCCGTAATATCAGCAATACCGTAGTGCTGTTTATAGATTTCCGTACGGTATTTATAGTTCTAAAGGTAACGATAGAGGCATCGATAACGGTAGCCAAGTTGGGCATTGAATATTATATGAAACAATTTATAGTTGTCAGAGGAAGCGGTAAGGGAAGAAGGGGCAAGAACGTATACGTTATAGCGGCAAGAGATGACCTTTTTTCATCTTTTCTTATCTCAACCGCGACTCCAGCCAATCACACGGCAGTTTTTAGTTGACAGCCTCGTCTTGTAAGTTTAGTGTTTTTGCGAGGGGCCGCCATTACCGCTACCGCTACTTTCTGAACTATAAATCCAGCTTTATACTATTTTTTAACAAATTTTTTTTTTCTAAAAATTCGATTCTTTCTCTTTCACTTTTTTTGATTAAATTATAATAATTATTGTTACATAATTATTACAATTATTGTAACTTAATTTTCCGAAAATTCGATAATTTTATTTACCCAATTCGATAATTTCAACTTTTACATCTGGCAACACTGCTATTCACACACAACTTGTTTATGTTATTTTTTGTCTTCTTGCATGTTTGGTTTATTTATTTGTCTTACGCCTTTTTCGATGGTTGTTTATGATTTGTCTGCTATGAGAAAATGAGGTTGTTTGTTTAAACTTACGGAAATGTTCTTATTCTTTTTTAATTTAGTTTTTGAGACAATAAAAGAATTCTTAGTATTTTCTTTTTGCAACATTGTGAAATGCTTATATAAACATTGTGAAATGCTTTTATAAACATTTAGCGAATATACGGTAAGACATGCAATTAGAAAAAATAACTTAGCTTGATTATTTGGTGCTGGAATTGATCCATTTCGCATGCCGCTCGCACGTGTGGTAGTCCAGTAAATTTCGTGGAAGTGATCGTCTCTCTCACACCTTTTAACCAGGTCCAACACTTGAGGATTTAATCCAGGGGGAGGTACCACACACAATTTGCACTCTTTTGCACTTGGGACAGTTATCACGTTTAGAATCGATTGATTTTTTATTATTTTACGGCGTTAACCAGTTATCACCTTACTACGTTTGTATCGTATACGCTGCTTAAGAGAGATCTCGATGAGCATATGCTTACACTTCAAGCGTCAAGAGCAGACTGACAGGTAAAGATTGCTACAATTATTTTACAAATTTTAAGTAGGTAACCATTTGCAATTAATATTCAAAATTTGATTGTTTATTTGGGACATGAAATTTTCATTTAAATAATCTTTAATTTTTGCTACAGTTAACTAAAATTTAATATACGATACTTTTACCGTATTTTATTGAACTGTTAATTATATTGATTGCAGTAAGTGATTTAACTAGCCAACCAAGTACATCATCACGCCAAATCAAGGATTTAGACATGATTTTTCCAAAGTTCAACACAAAACAAGAAAAATCCTTGCGGAAGGTTAAATTTCTTGATTATGATAAAAAAAAGTCTTGTTCATGTCGTTGAACAATATATGGTGAATGATGTAAATAACGTATCTCTTGGAGCCGCAACCGAAATTAGTAAACAGATTGTGGATGAATATCCTAATTCCTTTAAGGTTAAAATTGGTGGTCAACATTTAAAAGGTACTGCTAAAAGTCTGGCATATAAAATTTACCATAGGCTCCACTATAATAAAAAAGAAAAAGCCGAACGTACACTTTCACTATCTTACGACGTTGATGATCTAGATGAACCCTCTGCCGCACCAAAAGCACAAGACGAATACGGGTGCGTAGCCTATTTATAAAATCTACCGTTTCCAGAAACAAGAAGAGAAACGTTTAGAAATGATTTCGTGGGATAAATCTGCTACACCTCTAAATGACAATATTATGAAGAGCATGGCTGAAACGTATTGTTTACAGCGTAAATGCATTCATAAAGAAAAAAATGTATCTAAATTTTTTAATGATTGACCGTATTTTAAATGCTACAAAACGATTATTGCTCACGCAAATGAGCTTTTAGGTAAAGACACCATGAAAGTTTGGAAGGGATCTTTAAAACAGCTGTCTAAGCCAATAAACTGTTTTGCAAGGAACAATGAACTTGTTGCAAGTGAAAAATATCGCAAAAAATATAAGGATTCAAGTATACCTGCAGAATTTACATGTGTTTGCAAGCAAATCAAAGAAGCTAAAAAATTCAGTCATATCCTTAAAAATGAAGATCCCTATTGTAATATTGTGTTCGAGTTTATTGTCAAATACATGGGAGCAAAAGAAAACATCAAATATCTATATCTCATTATTAAGGTAGCTAATAATATGGAACGCCGTTTTGCTATTTAACATTCTCTGAAATAAATATTTTATTTCAGTTTTCGGTTTTTATTTTACTTTATATTTTGCAACGACTGATATTTATGTCAATTTAAATGCTTGACAATTTAAATATTAAAAACAATACATACTATTTTCTTTAAGTATAATTAGAAACAATCGCAGAATATATTATAGGTGTAAGAAAACATGTTTTTCGGTGTATGCAGCCCAGATGACATGTGGAATAGGCAACTGAGACGACATCAAGGTGTGGCACGCGGAAAGGAGGCAGCCATCTTAGATCTTGGAAAAAGGAGTCAGAAAGGCAGTGAAATAGAAAGGAAATATAACAGTTATAACTTATAAGTACGTTAATAATAAATACATTTCTTACATCAAAAGTGGGATACAATTCACGTGTCGTTTGTGAGTGTTGATTTTTGATTGTTTTGTACAAAAATGCAACGTAAAAATTATCGTTCACCCACCACTCGGAACAAGAGCTACAAAAGTCGAAGTAGAAGTCGAAGTAGAAGTCGAAGTCCCAAAAGGCGACATAAAACCACGAACCCGAGTCAGCATACTAGCCGATCAGGGGGTGATACGGCGAGGTTAGGAACCGGGACAAGTTGGACTAGGCACTCAAGATCAAAAGACTCGAAACAATCAAGGCCATTAACCGAATTTGGGTCTGTTATTGCAGAAAGTATTGATAAATTAGTAAACAGTAGGCAACGGCAGACTAAAGTAAGTAATCTGGCTATTATTCATAACATTATTGGGGAGTTTGATCCTGCAAAGACAGATGTTAATGTTTGGTTTAATTCTGTCGAGGAATACGCATGTATTCATAACTGGGACGATAAAACTACTAGCCATTTGGCACTAAGTAAGTTAGTAGGTGTGGCTCAAACTTGGTATAGATGACTCCCTACTCGTTTATTTACCTGGCCTGAATGGGCAGATTTGATTCGTACAAATTTTGGTCAGAAACATAATTTACATACATCAATTAAAAATATGATGGCTTGCAAAGCAAAACCAGGAAATTCTTTGTATGAATATTTGTTTGAAAAATTAGCATTAATTCATAAACTAAAATTACCAATCAGTGAGCAAAGTCAGGTCGATTTAATTATTGGTGATATTGAGAACGACGAAATAAAATTCTCGATTGAAACATCGGGTATTAGCAAACCTCATTTATTAGCTGCTCATTTTAAAACATTAGACGAACATCGTCTAAACACATCGGTTATCGCAGGAACTTCAAAGCCTAATATTGGAATTCCATCAGTCAGCACAAATAAAAATCCGACAACTACAGTTACAAATTCAATAATTCGTACTTGCTTTGTTTGCAAAGAGCCCGGTCATTATAAAAGGGATTGTCCCAAATATACCAAAAATAAAAAACAATTGGCGCTAACATACAAAAATGTAAATTTTATAGGAATAGATCCGAATGATAAATATATTAAGTTGATTCATGTCAATAGTGTAATGGTAAAATGTTTCATTGATATGGGTAGCGAGTGTTCGTTGATAACTGGCAAATTTGCTGATTGTGCGGGATTAACACTTAAAAGTTTAAAATCACCGGTGGCGTTACAAACATTGGGGGGGGGGGCAGGTGACTGTCGTCTCTGAGTATGTTGAGACTGATACGGTAATTGATGATATTGATGTTCTATTACTGTTTTATATTGTAAGCGAATGTGTCCGGGATGTTGACATTTTAATTGGTCAAAATTTTACTGAATCAGATGATATCGAATTTATAAAGTCTGGGAATAATCTCAAATTCTTTAGAAAATCCATTCCTTCCAAGTTGTTTATTGATTCAATTGATGAATCCAACGTACAGATTGGTATTAATAAACCAAAAATTGTTCAGTCACTGCTGTCTCTCTTAAATGAATATTCTATGTGTATTTCGTCAGGTATAGCCGAAGCGGGGTTCTGTTCTTCCACTACGATGAAAATTCAGCTTACATCAATGCAACCTATTTCTTGCAGACCAAGACGGTATTCCGATGTCGAAAATGCCGAAATTCGAGATATTGTGTCAAATTTAAAAGAAAATGGCATCATTAGAGACTCTAATTCTCCTTACTCCAGCCAAGCTTCTCTGGTATCAAAAAAAGAAGATGGTAGTAAAAGATTGGTGATTGACTACCGACCCTTAAATAAGATAACAGTCAGGGACTGTTACCCGGTCCCTTTAATTGAAACACAGATCAATAGGCTTGCCGGTTTTAAGTTTTTCATCACTCTCGATTTATTCTCTGGTTATTATCATATACCAATGTCTCCCGAATCTATTTGTTTTACTTCTTTTGTGACCCAAGATGGACAATATGAGTTTTTAAGAATGCCATTTGGGTTATGCAATGCGCCGGCTGTATTTCAGCGTATGATAAATTCTGCTTTGGGCCATTTGAGATTTACAAAAGTTTGTGTTTATTTGGATGATATTTTAATTCCTGGTCGTACTCCACAGGAATGTCTAACAGTTTTAAAACAGGTATTAGAAATATTAAAAGCTAACGGGTTAACGTTAAAGCTTTCAAAATGCTATTTCTTGAAAACATCCATCGAATATTTGGGTTATTTAATTTCAAATTCTAAAATCCAACCGTCTCCCCGAAAAATTTTGGCAGTTGAAAATTTCCCGATGCCACAAAACGTTCATCAAGTGCGACAGTTCTTAGGACTAACAGGTTATTTTAGGAAGTTCATACCCGATTATGCAACAAAAAGTAAACCATTAACTACCCTTATACATAAAGATGCCTTGTGGCAATGGAGTGAATCCCAAACCCAAGCGTTTACTACTTTAAGAGGATATTTATTATCACAACCTATCTTAACAATATTTGACCCTGAGTTGGAAATAAGACTTTATACCGATGCTTGTCGATTAGGTTTAGGAGGAATTTTGATTCAGGTAAACTCGCAAAACAAGGAAAGTGTAATCGAATATTTTAGTCGTCAAACATCTATGACCGAACAGAAAATGCACTCTTTTGAACTTGAAACACTAGCCATTATTTCTTCTGTACGCAAATTCCGAAAATACTTGTTGGGAAGAAAATTTACTATTTTTACTGATTGTAATGCGGTAAAAAGTTCATTTACAAAAAAAGAAATAAATTCAAAAATTGCTGGATGGGTACTGGAGTTAATGGAATACGATTTCCAAATAATTCATAAGGTTGGTACACAAATGCAACATGCCGATGCATTAAGTCGGAATCCAGTTATTCCATCTATAAGTATTTGCGCCGCTATTGTTACTGAAGAAGATTGGTTATTATCAATTCAACAAAATGATAAAAAAATTAAGGGCATTTGTGAAATTTTGCAATCAGGTGATCGACAAAATAATAAAGATATCTTCAACAACTACATCTTAAAAGGTGGTAAGGTTTATAAAATGGAAATCGGTGGGTTGTTCCTAAATATATTCGTTTCCAACTTCTGCGCAAGTTACACGACGATGTTGGTCATTTTGCCTTTGATAAAACTTACGAAATGGTTTCAAATAAATATTGGTTTCCAAAAATGCGTCGATTTATACGAAAATATGTCAACAACTGTTTAAATTGTCTATTTTATAAAAATTCCTCTGGTCGCAAGCCAAGCTACTTATACCCTATTAAGAAGGTTGCCAAACCTTTCCACACTATACATATCGATCATTTGGGCCCGTTTGTTAAGTCTAATTCTGGAAATACTCAAATTCTTACAATAATCGACGCATTCACGAAATTTATTTTAATCTATCCGGTCAAGGATACGAAAACAACAAATATTATCCGTTGTTTAAACGATTTAATTAAACATTTTGGAGTCCCCAATCGTATTATAAGTGATCAAGGTTCATCTTTTAAGTCGAAAGATTTTTCGGATTTTGTTAGTGAAATCGGGACTCGTCATCACATGAACGCGGTCGCATTACCTAGAGGAAATGGACAAGTGGAGCGTTATCACAAAGTAATTTTAAACTCATTATCCACTATGGGTGCATATCAAAAGGAAAGAGATTGGGATAAAAATATCCTAAACATTCAAGTGGGAATCAATGGTACCCTAAATAAAGCCATAGGTGTGACTCCCAGTGAAGCTCTAATGGGATATAGAGTTATGTTGAGCGGTTTGACAGATTTCGGTGAAGCAGATGTGAAAGACGTTACAAAAATTCGTGATAGTATTGTTAAAGGAGCTGAAAGTTATCAGGCTGAAATGAAGCGTCGGTTTGACGAGAGACGTTGTCCAGCTAAGTCTTATCAAATAGGTGATTTGGTTTTATTGCGTATCACATGTCATGTTCCAACAGGTAGTAGTCAAAAGCTTTTACCTAAATGGAGGGGGCCATTTAGAATAACCAAGGTTTTAGGCAGAGATCGATACATAGTGGAAGACATTCCAGGTACCAAACGATCTCAGTTAAAGTATAAAAGCGTAGCCGGAGCAGAAA